GGGAGGGTGAAAATGAGAGAACCAACCCTTGGCTGTTCGGCGCACAAACTGTGCAGCTCTCTGTTTGCTGAACGAAGGCCAACTCCGACGGAAAGCGTTGCCAGAGTGAGGAGAGGCGTCTGCTGAGCCATGTTACAACATACAGTATTTACCTTGGAAATCACGATTTCTTACTTGTGTCTGTTCTGAGAGCGGGTGCTTACAGGTGTGAACGTCTGGAGCTAATACACGCACACATCCCTCAAAGGCGAGTGCCTAATGTTAACCAAATCCAGCCTCTCAGCTCCAATTTTGTGCCGCGATGACAGCGAACCCACGCTGCTGCACTCACCCAGCACTGTGCCGATCTTATTGGTCAGGACGGAGTCGGTGTGGTCCAGCCAGCCTCCTCCGCACAGGCCCTCTTTGAAGCGGTTGAGGATCGACTGATTGGACAGCAGCACCACCAGGATCCACAGAGCTGCCGTCACTGTGGTGGAGTGGAGATGTTCTTCCATGAACTTCAGGAGCCAATCAAAGCCCAGCGTTCGCACCAGCTCCTCACACGCCCTGCAGGGAGAAAAAGTTTTGCAGGTTTACTGTTACTTTAATATCAGTTCTTTTCACAACATTTTAAATACTTTGTCAATATTTCTGCTTCTACTTGCTCATTATGTTGCTAAACTATATCAACCAGTGTCATTATAATCTCCATCTCTGTCAGCTGCTGGGCATATTGCCATTATTTGAGTCAAGTTGAGCCATATTCCAGTAATAACTGGAAATGTTGTATGTAGAGCTAAATAGCTTTTTAATGATAAAGGTCTTTAAAAGATCAAAGAACAAGAATAATGTTGTGTGGCGCTTTTATAATTGATTATTTATAGTTTTCAAAATAAATGGACAGCGTGAGAGTTTGCATTTTAACTTGAAGCTTTCAGGATGAGCAGATATGACAGAGAAGGAGCAAATAACAACACCCAAGTGCTAGTTGGTTTGGTTTGCAAACTGCAGTTCCTCAACTGCCCACTTGGGGTGCCTCCAAGCTCAGACCATATAAGAGTGTTTTCATTGTTGCAGTCTCTGCGCTTTGAGGCAGGATGTGATTGAGCGGCAGATCTTTTTTTACCATTTATGTACCCAACTTTACACAGATAAGTAAGCATGCAAACAGCCTACTGCACAAACAGGTTTAATCTCTGTAGCTAATTTCAATCTTCACAACAACTGCATGGGGTGATTTCATTTATTATTATTTTTAAATAAAACGGATCTTTTTAAGGCTATTAAGGTTTAAAGTTATAACGTTAGAATTATGGCAGCTTTGATAGATGGTAAATGCTGACACAGGTGGCTGTATCTGCCTGTTAGCCGTTAACTAGGCTAACCAGAATCACTAAACTGACCATGTTTGTGTTGCTGCCTATTTATTAAAATAATGTGGCTTAAAGAGAAGTTAATTCAACCAACAGACGATCCCAGAGCTCTGTGCTCCAGAGTGAAATCAGAGTATGTTAGTTAGGAATTATTATTAGCAGATATCTGTGTTTGTACCCCTGCAGTCTGTGGATGGTCATTAAGCTACAAGCATAACTTTATGTCTCTAGTTCAACGTGGCATCTAACTGCTATTTTTTAATCTAATCTAAACAACGTCTGGAGGAGAGCGGTGTCTTACTGGGCATTAACTGTGCACTTCTCTTTCGTGGTGAAAAGCAGTTTAAGAAGGCTGTCCAGCAGTCGATTTCTCAGCAGAATGAGGTTTGCTGATAGGAGGCCACCAAAGTCGTCATCATTTCCTGCAGATGCACAAAATGTTTCATATTTATTAAGGATAGAAGAACAGTCAAGCACTGATCATATGCTTTTGGCCACATGTTATTTAGGATAGAGAGGTGCAAGAAGTCAGATCAACGCTAATATCACTCATACCTCCGTCTATCTTCTCCTCATTATTGATTTCCATGACAACAAACTTCTCACAGACGGCAAATGTGGGAAGAGTGGAGGAGATGAACTGGCCGAACCTGTGGAGACAGAAAACGGTCTTATGCTGCACTGGCATGGATCATCATCACCGACGTTCACATGGCGGCTACGCGAGCGCGTTCTTACCGCAGCAGGTCGTATGGGTTGGGGAAGCCTTGCAGCAGCAGACTGAGCACGTTGCTGATGGCGGCGACAGTGGGCTGGGACAGCGTGGTGTCTCTCAGGGTGAGCAGCAGTCGTGGGATGAGCTGAAACTCTCTCAGGAGTTTAGCATTTTTAGCCGCCTCACTATTCGACACAGTCAGCAAAACACACAGTGAGACGCTTTCACGTTAAAATGAAAATAATTGTGCCAATCAGCAATAAAAAGAAATAAAAGTCATGTTATTCTTCGTGTGATCTGTTTCTTGTTCAGGGAAACTTCCTTCTGACACTTGCCTGGATTCTGTCAGCAGTTCAATGAAGTGCTCGAACAGAGACAGATGGAGCTCGTAGGGAGCGTGCAGCCAAACCTGAGGAGCAGACGGAGCAGACTCAGACCCTGCCGCACAACTCATTTCTGGCAGCACAAACTTCTGGCACAGAGTAGCTCAGTTCCTTAACACTTCAACATCAAAAAAACACTTTTTTCTTTTCCTGTTTTAACAAATGCAAAAACATACTTGCAAACTCTCCGTTTTATTAGCCGAGACGGGTTTAAGTGGAACGAGACTTTTATCAATGCTAAGTAGGCGAGCTTTCTTTGACAGCTGCACACTGATGTCCTTATTTCAGTCGGCTCACAAGCATTATGGGTCAATGGGCCCTGTAAACACTCACCTCAAAGTCGCACAGTAGGTCCTGGAAGGCCGTGGAGTTGGGGATGATGGAGGTTTCGTGGCCGCTGTCAACGGTTCCCACCAGAGAGAAGGTGAGGTGGAGGATGTGGCTGTTTAGCAGCGAGCGCTTCTTCTTTAGGAGCATAGCCAGCAACTAAAGAGGAAGACAAAACAAATA